ACGCTTTGCATTGCACTTGATGATGTAAGTCTTGGATGCAACTGCTCAGCCATGGAAACCCATTCGATGAAGCTCTCTATACACTATTGTGCTAATCTGAAGGCCACATGAAGTTTGGAGATCTTTAGCTAATGACTCTGCAGACAGTTGGTGACTTCTGCGCACTGTGCGCTTCAGCATGCGCTGACCCCGCTCTGTCATGTTACGTGGCCAACCACTTCATGGCTGAGCTGCTGTTGTTCCCAGTTTCTTCCACTTTGTATCACTAACAGTTGACCGTGGATTATTTTGTAGCATTATTTCGGAGCTCCCGAGAGCGACCCATTCTTTCACAAATGTTTGTAGAAGCAGTCTGTATGCCTAGGTGCTTGCTTTTATACACCTGTGCCCATAGAGGTGATTGGAACACTGGAATTCAATGATTTGGAGAGGTGTCCCAATACTTTTGGCAATATAGTGTATATGTGTAGCACCCTCCTAGATTAGGTTGCTAGTGGGTTTAAGGTAAATAGAGTTTATTGGCTCCGCTATAATCACTGGAGGAGAGTGATGATTATTTTTGGCTGTTGTAGGTCTTGCTGGCTGCAGGCTGGACTACTTTCCTGTGCCTTATAGTGGATTCTAGAATATAGTGAGCTGGAATAGGCAGACCCCAGGCTTCAATATTCATCAGTATAAACAAATGACAACCACCCCAATCTGTAACTGGCTTATGCAGCAAGGAGCACATGGAAGGGCAATGCATGTCAAAAAACAACAAAGAAAAATTCCCAGCTCACTTTCCAGTCAGCCTGCAACAAACTGAATTACCCTGTATAGTGCTACCCCCTTGAGGGCCACTGGATTTTTGGGTCCCCCTATTCCTGCACAGCCAGGCAACACACATTTTCCAACTTTCCTCTCAGAGACAATGACCAGTCCATAGACTTGTTTTTGTTGTTTTATTGAGCAAAAACAACTTGGATGGAGATAAGAGGATATGGAATTCCCAACTAGACTTAGTAGAACAACTTGAGGACAACTTCCTTCACTATGTACACAGAAATGGAACCTGGACTGCACTCCCTCTGGAAGGATTTCAGTCTCTAGATGATCAGTAACAAATGTTCCTCTTTTAGGAGCTCTATGTGCCCTAAATGAGACTCACAAAGTCTCAACTCTTTGTAAGAAAATACCAGCCCACCTGGCTTTGCGAAGTGTCCCAGAGCAAGGGATCTGGGTTAGCGAAGCACTGTCCTAGTGAAAGCATGCTAGATATTGCATCTGGCAACCTTCTTCCCTGTAGGCCCTGGGGGTATAGTGGTACTCACTCTGTCCCTTGTTCCTGCTGCTATGGTTAAGACTGCTGTCCAGGCCTTTCACTGTGCTACACTTCCCATGCTCGACAAGGTGTCTTAGGCCTAAGACTACAGGGCGATGAGGATTCTTCTCTCCAGCTTCCTCACCTTCTTCCCTTGGTTCCACCCTGGAGGCAGAGTCCCCTTTCCCCAGGGCCCCCTCCCATCCCGATCCTTAGCACTCCATCTTCCACCTGACCACAGACCAGACTCTCTCACTGGCCAGGCTCTTCAATATTTATGGGCAGGTCTTACCACTATTCTAGGCCTCTCATCTTGGGATAGGTCAGATTCCCATAAATATGCAGATCACCACCTCTTTGCCTCCACCCACTAGCTTCTAGAATCTTCTGGAAGCTTCTAGAACTAGGGGGAGGTACCAGAAGCCTGAGATTAGAGCCCTCCAGTCTGACCTAAAGTAAGCCAAAAACAATTCCCCAGATTCAACACACTACTGTGAGCCATAACATTTTCTTAACTCTAACTTCACACTAGAGGATGCTACAGCTGTCTAACTGTAATAAGGGGTTTAGTTTGCACACATTTGAAAATACATGCGTAATCTGCGGAGGCCACTTCATGGCACCCCAATATAATCTGCAGTCCTAACAAAATAAATTTTGAGAGCCTCCAAAGTTGGAGTTATTGACAGATTGAGGGCAGGTATGCCTGGAGGGAGCCCACCCCAACTTAAAAGTATAGGAATGCATTGGACACCCAGCTATAGCACAATGGTAGAAAAGTATGCAGAGCTTCCCCTCACCAATTAACCAACAGTACAATCAAATGGCAACCACCCTAATCTATAACTGGCCTATACAGCAAGGAGCACATGGATGGGTGGTGTATGCCGTAAAAAAAACAACATCTCCCAGCCAGCCTGCAACAAACCACAGCTTTGGCCAATCCCTGAGGAAAAGAATGCTCCATAGGTGGCTTGATGGTGCATAAATAGCTGGAGGCCTGGAACAGCAGGGCTCTTGTCCTGGAGTATAAGACCCAGCCAGAAGGGCTACTGCCCTTCTGGGCAGATTTTCTGAAGTCTGCAGGAGTTCAACGAGGTCCCAGCTCAGGGCAAGCTGTGGAGGCCTATTTGCTGAAGAGCTGGAGCCAAATACAGAGGGGTTTCACTGAGGATTTGGCCTTGAGGCTCACTGGAGAAGTGTCTGGCTGGCATTGGACAAAGGCATCCAAGTATACAGGGACATTGTGAGTATAGGCCTGAGAGAGAGATCCTGGTGATTGTTGCTGCTTAACCCTTTGAGCACTTGCTCCAGAGTTGCGGACTTAGGACTGCTCCCAGAGTTGTATGTCTATCTATTCCTAGCCTGAAAGGGAGATACCCTGAAGAGTCTAGCTATATCAGTGAGTGTCCTCTATTACATTTCACACTAAATTTGGAGTATCCCAAGGCTCACCAACACACCAACTAAGTTCAACAAGCGTTAAGCCTTAAAAAGAGACTCACTGCCTGGTCAATGTGTTATGAGACTGTGGGAGTTGCTGTGTGCCTGGCTGCAGTGCACTCACTTGGGAATAGAACCTGGGACAAATCTGCAAGACTCATCAGGGGGGGTGCACTACATATTTTTCCTTTATTTTCACCTGGTGATCTAACATACTGTCTTAGGGTGTCTCCGCACCACTGGAGGAACAACAGAGACACCCTTTAGGATAAAGAACTTCCTGGGATAAAGGACTTACCGGCTGGATCACCAGGTGAAAATAAAAGGAAAAAAGCCTAAAAAAAAGAAAACTATTTCAGCCGCCATATAGTATAGCCCAACTTTGGAAAATGTAAAAAAAATGTCCCTTGCAGTGGACATAGAAAAAGAAGATGCACTTACCTGATCTCCCAGCCCTCTGCACTGCTAGTACAGTCCCTGCATTGTCTTCTTCCTCAATGCACTGCTGGTTTAAAGTCATGATGTCATCAAGACCAATGCAAGATCCATGACGCCGAGGGACCAGGGGCGGACTGACCATTCGAGCACTCGGGCACTGCCCGAGGGCCCGGGGTCAGTAGGGGGCCCCATGAGATGCCCCTGGTACCTTTCAATTGGCTTTTTCATAGGCTAGGACACAGGGGCCCCATGATCCCCCATTGCCCGGGGGCCCCATGAGTTGTCAGTCCGTCCCTGCGAAGGACAGTCTACCACTTGAGCGTGGGGGGAGCCTCATCCCATTGCAAGGGATAATGTTTAAGTTTCCTAGAGTTGGGCTTCAAATATTTGTGTTTGGATTTAGTACCATTTTAACCCTTTTGCTGCCAGAGATGGTTGTTTTTGCACATATTTTAAAATGCATATTTTAAGCCTGAAGATTAGTTGAACCCTCCAAATACTATATCTTTTCCAAGAGAATAAAATGGTGGTAGTTGTGTTTTTTTCATGTCATCCAATATCAGAACAATGGCTTATCAAACACATATTTTCAGCAAAAAACATACTAAAAGCAAATTTTGTGCACACAATTATAATATTCTACCCAATGTTCTAGTAAAATATAGGAAGGGGCTACATTGTGTAAACAGATCACACAAATGTCAAGACTTAATCATTGCTCTGCACCAACTTTCTGATTGACAGCAGTAGACCATGCCTTCGCATAATCTGTTGGTACAGCTGCTTCTAATCTCCATTGGGAGGGCAAGTGGCAGGATGACAACAGACAAGAATACAGTTGTGCTCAAAAGTTTGCACACCCTGGCAGAAATCATGACATTTTGGCATTGATATTGATAATATGACTGATCATGCCAAAAAAACTGTCTTTTATTTAAGGATAAAGCCATGTATTATAACATAGTTGTCTGTTTTAAAATCATAATAATAACATATATCACCCAAATGGCCCTGATCAAAAGTTTACATACACTGGAATATTTAGGCCTTGGTACAGACACACACGATTAAAATGGCAATTAAAAGTTAATTTCCCACATCTGTGGCTGTGTCTGTGTATAAACATTCAATTAGTTTGTTAGCTCTCACATGGATACACTGAGCAGGCTAGATACTGAGCTATGGGGAGCAGAAAAGAACTGTCAAAAGCCCTGCTTAACAAGGTAATGGAACTTTGCGGCGAGCAGCATGATTGACGCTGGATCGACTTCGGGGGACATTCTTTTATTTTTCTTCTTTTAAAAAAGGACTTGTCAAAGACTACACTTTTTTTTGTGAATGAGTAGCGGTACCATGTACTCCATACTCATTCACATGGGGGGGCGGGATCTGGGGGCCCCCTTGCTAAAGGGGGCTTCCAGATTCCGATAAGCCCAGGGTTGTGGGGAAGAGGCCCTTTTCTCCATCAACATGGGGACAAGGTGCTTTGGGGGGGTCTCCTGCCCCAAAGCACCCCCCCATGTTGAGGGCATGTGGCCTGGTATGGTTCAGGAGGGGAGCGCTTGCTCATCCCCCCTTTTCTGACCTGCCAGGCTGCATACTTGGTATGGATATTGGGGGGGACCCCACGCCATTTTTTTTTTATATTGGCGTGGAGGTTCCCCTCAAAATCTAAACCAGATCCAAAGGGCTTGATATGGATGGAGGGGGGGAACCCCACGCCATTTTTGTAATTATTTTTTAATTGCCGGCAATTTTTTTTTCTTTTACATTCAGCTGTCAATGGGGAACCCCGTTGACAGCTGATGACTAAAAACGCATGAAAAAAAACAGATGTAAACAAATAAAAAAAAGAGGGAAAACTCACCTGTTTTTTCCTTGAAAAAACCTGACTGAACTGATGAAAAAAACGGAACGCCCGTGTGAAAGGATGAAAAGAAAAAACCCACAGGTAACCTCAAGAGAAATACAGGCTGCTCTGGAAAAAGATGTTGAGGTTGTTCCAAGGGGCACAATACAACAATACTTGGACAAAAATGAGCTGCATGGTTGAGTTGCCAGAAAAAAGCCCAGTGAGGCTTGTCAAGGTGTTGTCGGGCACATTGTAATTGGGATGTTTTGTGGCCTTTATCGCAAAAGGAAAAAAAGAACCTGTTTGCTGTAATAGATTATGAAATGTGAGCTGGAGTTTGGCTTTAGTGAGTTATTTAAAAAGTAAGATTTATTACTAAAAGGTCAAAAAGAGTGCAGTAGAAATATTTACAGAAAAAGATGTAACCAATATACTGTATATATAAATATACAGAGCACAACAGCACAGCAAACAGATGACAGAAAGAAGTTTAGGTAAATAAGTACTTGCCAAATAAATGCCTGGGGTTAGGCAGTTTCAAGTCTGATGAGCTAAAATGAGATTTCTAGCCTCGCACTCAGTTTCGTTGGTAACGCACGATTCCCCTTTCCTCGGTCTGCTAGATGTTAAAACGCAGACGGTCCGTACTTCTCTGACTACACACCAAGCATAACAGCTTCTTTTCTACAAAAATCAATTGGTATCTTCTTACAACAGACAAGCCTATTGCCTTATTTGGGAAAAGGATGGCATAGACAGCTACACTGAACGCATTCCTGAGGGAGGGGGAATGAGGGGATACATGAAGACTTCTTAATACAGTGAGAGCCGTGCCTGGCTCTTGTATGCACGACTGTGACAGGTATAGCATTGTAAATTTTTATTTTTTTTTTTAATGGTTGAACTGGATGGACTTTTGTCTCTTTTCAGACAGACAAATGCAGGCCATACATGGTTCGAATTCCGAACGATTTTTGTCCGAAAATCGAACCTAAGAATAATCAGCCGATTTTTGCTCTGTTAGTGGGGCAATGGCATCGGCTGATTTTCGTGGTTCCTCTCCATTTCGTTTATCGGGCATGCTGGAAAATTCATGAAAAACGACCGATTTTTGAAATCATTGGTGGCACCATCGGATTACAGAACGAATGACGTTTTCGATTTTTGGACGGAAAATTGTTCGGAATTAGAATCATGTATGGCCTGCATAACTATGTGTAACGGAACTGGCACCCGACCGCACTTGGGTATATTCCGTTATACCGCAGCTTCCCCTGTCCGAACACCATCCACGGACCACACCCTTGAAATCCCTAAGGAAATAGACAGCACCCAGCTCTTCTTAAAACAGGAAGCCAACAACATTTATTTTAACACAAAACACAGGATGTATACAGAGGGCGGGGAAACACAACCAGGAACAGGAAATACATCATCAGCCCGCCCCATCAGTAAGAAGGCTGCAGGAAACACCTCATCACCCCTCCCCATCCAACCAAGACACAGAACAATGGGATGAAGCACATGGCATAGAACAATAGGCAACCACATGGCAGGGACAATACAGGGACACATGCATCCCATAATAGTTGGTTGGACAGGAAGACACAGCACAATGGGGGGTAGCACATGGCAAACAAACAATGGACAGCCATGTGGCCGAGAACAAAGGAACACACACTATACACAAGACTGGGACATTCACATTTACACACCCTTTAACAGGCACAGGCTGCCTTAAACATAATGGGAATTTGGGAAGATGATACAGAGGTCCCCCCACCCCCAGAAGTCACTCCCGTCACACTATGTAACTATGAAACACTTACCTCCCTCCCAGACTGACAATGCTGCTGTGTGCTGTGTCTCCTGTGTTCATTCATCCAGAGTGGGGGGCACTCTAATAAAGGAGGTGTGTTACTGGCCAGATCACCAGGTGATATCAGAGGGAAAAAAAGAACTAATGCAGCCATCATACCTAATGATTGGTAAGCTGAAATATATAACATTTTTGGTTTTGGGTTTGATACCGTTTTAGGTTCTGTCCAGATTAAAAGTAGCAAAGTGCTCTATATTTTTTTTTTAAAAAGAGCTTTACTTTCTATATCAGTCCAGCTTTGGAAAGATACAAAAAAAAAAGAAGATTTTGTTTGGCATCAAATATTTACAAGGTGTTTAGTTAAAATTTAATGTTACTAAATATGTGGTTTGGATAGTAATGAGCAGGAACCTCACTGAACTCCAGCGTACGCCGTGAAATGGGTTGAGGTCTCGAGGGGCGTACTCCGCTTTCTACTTAGATTCCGCCACGGCGCACATCCCTGACTAGACAAGCGGCAGAAAGCTCCCCCTGACAAGATTCATTACAGACCTCTGAACCTGATGTGTTTCCTTAATGTTCAACATTACTTTTATTTTCCCTCAGTCAGGCTGACATATGAATCTGGCTATTGAATAATTGAGCGCACTTCCCTTCCCAGCTTTCATATTTATTTTTTTCAAAAGTGGTGACTTAATAATGGTAGCGCAGCTGTGCCGGTACAGCAGTGTGTGCCGCGGCGTTTGTTCGTTGTTTTAACCGCCGACTGGAAAGTGAAATGAGTGCATCGAATGAGTGACCAAATTCACAAATCCAATATTTCCTTAACAACTACTCAAAAGCAGGTTTGTTGCATACCCTCAGCCCTTTTACCTCCCCCCTCCCCCAATGTTCTTCTTAGAGCGCCTACATCTAAAAAAAAAAATGGACAAAAATGTGCGCTGCGGAAAGCAGATATTTCACCACTTTAACCCCTTGCCTACCGGGAGCTTTTACCCCCTTCCTGCCCAGACCAATTTTCAGCTTTCAGTGCTGTCACACTTTGAATGACAATTGCGTGGTCATGCAACTCTGTACCCAAACTAAACTTTTTATCATTTTTTTTTAGACAAATAGAGCTTTCTTTTGGTGGTATTTGATCACCTCTGGGGTTTTTATTATTTTCCTAAACAAACTAAAAAAGGACATTCTGAAAAAAAATGTTTTTCTAAGTTTCTGTTATACGGTTTTGAAAATAAGTAAATTTTTCTCTCCCTCACTGATGGGCACTGTTAGGCAGCACTGATAGGCAGCATTGATGGGCACTGTTAGGCAGCACTGATTGGCGGCATTGATGGGCACTGTTAGACGGCACTGATGGGCACGGTTAGGCAGCACTGATAGGCAGCATTGATGGGCACTGTTAGACGGCACTGATGGGCTTGGTTAGGCAGCACTGATAGGCAGCATTGATGGGCACTGTTAGGCGACACTGATGGGCACTGATGAGGAGTCACTGATGGGCACTGATAGGCTGCACTGATAGGTGGCACTGATGGGCACTGTTAGGCAGCACTGATTGGCAGCATTGATGGGCACTGTTTGGCGGCACTGATGGGCACTGTTAGGCAGCACTGATGGGCAGTGTTAGCTGGCACTGATGGGTACTGATAGGTGGCACTGATGGGCACTGTTAGGTGGCACTGTTGGGCATTGATAGGTGGCACTGATGGGCACTGTTAGGCAGCACTGATGGGCATTGATAGACAGCACTGATGGGCACTGTTAGGCAGCACTGATGGGCACTGATAGGTGGCACTGATGGGCACTGTTAGGCAGCACTGATGGGCATTAATAGGTGGCACTGATGGGCACTGTTAGGCAGCACTGATGGGCAGCACTGATGGGAACTGATAGGCAGCACCAGGGGCAGACTGACCATTTGGAAACTCGGGCACTGCCCGAGGGTCCGGGGTCCGTAGGGGGCCCCATGAGATGCCCCTGGTACCTTTTTCATAGGCTTTTTTGAGTTTGGGCAAGGACACAGGGGCCCCATGATCCCCTATTGCATGGGGGCTCCATGAGTTGTCAGTCCGCCCATGGGCAGCATTGATTCAACTGATGGGCAGTAATTGCCAGCACTGATTGCAAGCACAGATGTGCACTATTGGCTACACTAATGGGCTACACTGATCACCAGGACACTGATCTGTGCTCTGATAATCAGTGTAGATATCCCCCTGCGAAATGCCACTTGCCGACTCTCCTCTCCTCACGCTGTCAGCGTCAGATGCGGACTGCCAATGATTTGACACAGCTATTCACATGGTAAAAGCGGCTTTGATTGGCCCGTTCCTTAGTCATGTGATCAGAGATCACAGATTGCACGCAGTACACTTCCCAGAGGGCACGGTTCTGAGAGGACGCACATGGACGCCCTCCCAGAACTAGACGACTATGCTGTAGCCGTATTTTGGCTATAGCATGGTCGGGAACTGGTTAATACTGGGTTCTTTGACCCACTTTCTGCTCCTGCCCATTTTTTAGCTTTCAGAGCTGTCACGCGTTCAATAACAATTGCGCGGTCATGTAGCACTGTACCCAAACTACATTTTTTCATTTTTTCACACAGAGTATTCTTTTGGTAATATTTAATAACCAATGGGGCTTTTTATTTTTTGCTAAATAAAAAAAAAGAGAAAATTATGAAAGAAAAACAAGTTTTTCTTCCTTTCTGTTTTCTTTTTAATTTTGCAAATAAATAATCTATTTTCATATATTTAGGCCAAAATGTATTCTGCTGCATTTCTTTGGTGAAAATAACCCAAATCATTGTTTAGTATTTAGTTTGCAGGAAAGTATATATATCTGAAATGTATCAATCCTGTTTAATTTCTTGAGGCCTGAAAATGTCAGGACAGTACAAATGCTCCCCAAATTACCCCTTTTTGGAAAGCAGACAGTCCAAGGTATTTATTAAGAGGCATGGCGAGTTTTTTTGAAGTTGTAATTTTTGTCATAATGTTTTGGAAAATAAAGAAATTAAAATAAGCATATAACTGGTGTGGTGGTGCTTAGGTGATCATTTATTTATTACATTTTTTTCTTTTTTTTTATGATTTTTTTTTTAACAAACTGTGACCGGAGCAATACAGTGTTACCATAGTAACATTATTCTACTCTGGGGAAATGATTAGGATTTTCTTTTATTTTATTACATTATGATTGCTTATAGCAGTGAATTTCAAGCATTTTACTAAATGAAATTGATTCATTCAATAAGTATTGTTGTGATAAACTGTGATTGGTCCTGTCTGTAGCATGTGATCACTGTGACCAATCACAGCTACAAATTTACACGATGAATGGTATAAAAGGAAGGTATTCATTTTTTGCAACTGTCATGTTATCTGCTGTAATCGGTCACCGTGCCAGTACAGTAGTCTGCCATTGGCTGTGTCTGGTGGAAACAGCAGGTGATGGATCACACCCGTAGGTGCGTTCTGGGAGGGCGTCATATGATGTCCACGTGGAATAGGCCAGGCGGGAAAATGGTTAAAGTGTTAATGATACCTAAGTAGTACCCTAAAAATGAAATTTTCCTTGAATTCCTTCTGAAAAATAGCAGTGCACTTCCTGGTATGTGCCTAGGCTCTCCTATACCTACAGACACATAGTTGAAGATTTGGAGTTAAATATGGCGATGTCACCACTTTGCTGTTCACTGTGCTGCTTGCTGGAGAGGAAGCTGTACCTCAATGCTTCTGTTTCCATTCTTCTGTGCTTTCTCCACCTTCTTCATCATTGCTTCTTTAAACAGAAGTTTGGGCTTCAAAAAACAAAACAAAACATGCATACTCACCTTGGTGGATGCAGCATGCTGCATTTGTCCCCTGTCACCTCTAAGACTGAGAACAGAGCAATCAAGCATCACTCAGTTATTGGTCTTCAGTGAGCAGATACCGACTCTCTGATCTGCCCCTCCAGCACTCACTGGAGCACTGAGCTGTGGAGGGGGGTGGGAACAGTTGACTCAGGCTCTCAGCGGCTCATTGAGAGGCTGAACCAGCTGCCAATTCAGGCATCTGGGTGGATTCCAACTTTAAAGTCTGGATCTTTCCAGAGCCTGGACTGGCTGAGTGACATCAGCCGACAGCAGGTTTTAGCCCACTGTCAGCTGAAAACAGGCACAGAGGTGCAGAATGAAGTGCACTCCTGTGATCTATAGGAGAAGTAGGGCCAAAATAGCTTTGTCCCTACTTCTCCTTTATTCATCAGATCCCCATTCATCCCCAAGATTGCCACCTCTATAAAGAAAGATAATGCAGAATAAGGCACGGAAAGTCAGTAGTGGAGAAAAGATCAGCTACATGGAGACCACAGGCAATACTCATAACTAGTCCTTTGCCCCTTGTTTGCCTTTTTTTGGGCACAGCTTCCAGAGTACAGCTCCTGTTTAATGCTCACCTCCCACGCTGCCAGTTGCTGCTATATTGAAGACTTCTTGAAGGATCTTCAGAATCCGACACTCTTGAAATGTTGAACTCCTAGCCACCCATCCCACTCCACTCCACGTGCTGTGGTTCCTCTCACCATCCACTACACCATTAAAGGATACATCAGTAACATAGGGGACAGGAGAAGGAAGCATAGTGGGGGATCAGTAATTAAACACTTCCGGAAGTGTCTGAAGATTCTACACGCAAGTGGTTTCTCCGAAAGGGTAGTATTACTTCGGTTCTGAAGCCAGCTAACAGATCAAATGAAGCCCTAGTGTAACTAAATGCCCAAATAATGAAGTTACGGTTGTTCTATTTTGGTTGCACTGTCAGAAGTGAGAGATCACTGGAGAAGGAAATAATGTTTTGGGAAGATCGAAGGAACCAGGTGAAGAGTGAGACTGGCTACAAGATGGTTGGGCACATTGCCTACAACTGTAGGGACGACACTGGAAGACCTTGCCAGACCAGCACAAAACCGACTTCTTTTCAGATCTCTCATTCATCAGATTGCTAGGACTCGGATCTGAGTTGAAAACACTAAAAGCCAAAAGTGTTTTACCTTAATGAATTCCCTGCACTAAGGTAAAATTTGTCCCAGTAAGAGTATTGCTCCCTCACCCCTAAATATTTACTTACGTCCTCACTCAATCCAGCGTGCCCGTCTGTAGCGGCAATCTCTCTCTCTGCATTCACAGGACAGAGAGGCAGTAATGGGAGTCATTGGCTCCCATTGTTGTCAATCAAATCCTGTGAGCATAGAGTCGGGGTAGGGCCAAGCCACTCTGTGTGTGTCTATCGACACACACCACCCAGCTCGGGAGGGAACCGACACATCATGCCCCCATAGCAAATGGCTTGCTATGGTGGCAGACAATGTAGAGGAAGACCCAAGAGCATCATTGGGGGATCCCAGAAGGGGAGGTTTGGGACCACTCTGTGCAATTCCATTGCACAGATCAGGTATGTATAACATATTTGTTATTTTAAGAAAAAAAAAACCTTAAATATCTCCTTTGCACAGGGCACATTTTTGACAAATATTTATTTTTGACTATTTTCTTTTAGTGACCGATAAAAATATATTGTTCTGCTTTATTAACTAGACTAATAATTTCTGTTTTTATAGGAATAATGGTGTCAACGTGAAGAGCCATAAATGAAAAGTTTTAGTTTGTTTCAGGACCGGAGAGTAAGACGTAGAGTATTAGTCTATGTTAAAAGATATAAAATTGTGGTTATGTCCAGAAGTCTGGGTTCCTATAAGGGCTCATGTACACCAGATATTCTGGGTTATTCTGGCAACTATTTCCAGTGCAGTCCCAATGAATGGATATGGCAAAAGGCTTTGTTCTCTTTGCTGTCAAGTCTCCCCACTGTCAGAATACAAAGATAAAACTGGTGCATCCCCATCCACATCGATTGTGTGATTGGTGAAATCAGGTCAGTTTTTCCATTGGTTGAACAGGAAAAACTAACTATTTATTGCAGATAAGGCACCAACTGAGTTTAATTACCACTTTAATCAGCCTCAGAACCTGTGTAATTAATATGTGTTCGGTTTCAAAGGGATGAGGTGGCAACCCTAATTCATGGCTGTCAAGAACTTAACCTGTTTATGACAGTTCAAAGCATTGCTCGTACAATGATCTTCATTGTACTAGCAAAGTATTAAAAAATAAAGAAAATCCCTGCACAGTCCCCAGAGTAGTACAATGTTACTATGGTAACACTGAACTACTCTGATGAAAGTATTTAAAAAAATATAAAATAATGTTCAAAAAATAAAAAAATATTTAAAATATTGAATAAAAAATTATTTAAATTTTTTTTTTTTTTAGTTTTGTTTTTTAACATGCTGTTACTAGTCAGTGTCCCTGATCACTGCCACACCAGTCATATGATGAAGATGAACTGCGCTAGTGATGGTATGTAAAAAAAAAAAAGTGAACCCTCCCCATTTCCTACCCCACCCCCTGCTAACTTGCCGACCTCCTCCACTCTTCCTACCACTCCATCCCCCACAGCTATCTCCTCCTGTGCCACCACCCACTCCCTCCTAGATTGTAAGCTCGAAAGAGCAGGGCCCTCAATCCCCTTGTGTTTTGCATTGATTGGTATTGTTCTGTCACATGTTCTGTCCCCCTTTGTAATGTACAGCGCTGAGCGAACTATTGGCGCTTTATAAATACTGTATAATAATAATAAAAATAAATTTCTTAATTTTCCAAAAAATTGGGACAAAAAATTACAACTTCCAAAAACACTTACCATACCTCTTACTGGATACCTTGCTTTCTAAAAAGGGGATATTTGTACTGTTCTGACATTTTAAGGGCCTTGAGAAATGAGATTGGTCATCAATACATCAGGATTGATCAATTTTCAAATATACTGCTCAAAAAATTTAATGGAACGGTTTGAAAACACAGCAGAACTCAGGCCCTCATGCCACCCTCATGAAGTCTGTTTCTGATTGTTTGGTCAGAGACATTCACACCAGTGGCCTGCTGGAGGTCATTTTGTAAGGCTCTGGCAGTGCTCATCCTGTTCCTCCTTGTACAAAGGAGCAGATACCGGTCC